CTAGCAATACTAATATTTTATTATTGTTATTGGTGTCATTATTGGTAGTAATATTTTCATGTCTATTGTGATCACGAATATTGTTATTGCACAAAAAACAAACCTCAAAAGTGAATGAATTTAATAAAGCAGAGAAGACTCAAACAAAAAGTCTTCAGCGATCAATAACACATTGGAATTGAGTTGGTTGAGTTCACTCACAACGGATGCAGCATATGAACAAGTGAATCACTTTTGTTCTCATGGTGAAATACATAACGAAATTATTGTTGACAGCTCAGTTCACTTGAAAAGTATTCGCTGAAATAAGAACTTTCACGACGAATTATTAATCAGAGACCATTACAAACAAATTCGTTTGTTTCGCAGTCATCAACTAAGCAAAATTTACGTTTGGCGACAAACCCTCTGAAAATTTTGGAATTCTATCAGGTTGATATTTTCACGGATAATTTCGCGACAAATGAAGAAAGGGCGAAAGGTACGAGTTCCACCTGTTGAAAGCACCCAAACAACTTAAAAACCAGCTTTGCACATTCGTTCATTCAAAAACCACCTTCCAGAAACCACTATATCGCGTGCATATCAAACATACATAATATACCTTCACTAAGAGAAGGAATGCAAAAGATTAGAATAATGAAATAAAATCCTTCAAAATGCTCACAACCAATTCTGACCTGCAATTTTCTCAAGTCAGACGGCTCAGATTGAGAACGAGAAGGGGTATGTATGCAAGCCTTGATGTTCGTTAATAATGTAAATAAGCATGTACACACANACACACATAAATGTGGCGTTTGTTTGTTCCGTGGAATGTTAATTAGATTACGATTTCCTTTAGTGAATGTAGATGGATCACACATGTGCACGTCAACATTCGACGAACACACAGAGCTCTTATTCCAAATTCTGCTGCTAATTACACGGCAAATATGCCGACGCTTTATTTAACTCGTAACATCTTCTGATGTCGCATTCACTGATTCAATCAAACACTCGAATACGTTAATCTTCAAAACAACTTCATGACATCCAAAAATTCATTCCGTTTCCTAATGAACTCACGAAAATTCTCTCACGCATATGTTAATGAATAATCATTTCACGTTTCACACAATCGTACAACTCATTCCATTCATTTCGTGCTCGAATTGAAGTTCTCATCCCCTCAATCGTGTCTAAGGAGATAAGAGGAATCACAAACATGTCGATAAGATTTCCTGTTTTCGACATTTCCCGAGTTCGACATCAAACAAAAACAGATGAAAATTCAATCCCTGAACTAAAAAACTGTTCATTTTCCAAGCGAAAATCTACTTGAATTCTATTTAGACTTTCAATGCCACCACTGACAAGTCAAAACGTGACTACTGGATGTTCATAAATTTCATTATGCTGAATAATTTCATTAAATTCTTGGAAATATTAACCATTTCAAGAACCGCGATCTCGAGTATGATAAGTTGAAGTTTCGCTACAGTTCCACAATCGCTGAATGGGATTTTGCTTAATTTGAATGCCGAATGAACGGCTGAAAGTGTGGTCGCAATAACATTGGCTTGATCTCGTGTAATTGATCATCTATGCAAGCGATGATATCTGATAACGAAACTGAATATCTTCGCAGATATATGAAAGCGATATGTATCATCTAATATAAACAACTTACTCATATTCTCGAAAGCGTCGAAATGAGCACATAAACGACGAGAATAAACAACGGGAACAGCAAACTGTCATCGCATAAACATTTGCATCAAAGAGATGTGATGATGCAAAGTCAATGCAAGTAGCAGCGTAAGTACGGAGCACATTCGTTTACTTATTATTGTTAGCACTTTGGTTCGGTTTAGCTTAATATAAGCTCAATCATCACGCACAATGCTTGCTATTCTTTGCGCCAGACATCGCTTAGCTGCTGACCTTACGGCCATAATTGCAATTATAGAAAGAGCCCTAATTATAATCGATGATGAATGCTGGTGTGAATAACAAGAATTATGATTATTGATTATTTTTATTATTCGTATTAGTACTATTGTTATTATCTCTATGGTTATTATCGCTATTATTATTATTTGTGATTAATATTATTCTTATTTTCTTCTTATTATTATTAATACTTTTATTAGTAGTAGTATTTTTTTAAATGATCGCTATCATGAAACGGTAATGATTACCTTTGATATGACGTAAAGTCAGCAAATGATTTTAACATTTCATGTCATTATCTTCCTTATCATTACATTGAATTTAAGACTACTACATTAACTCTCCATATTCATATAATTAATCCGACTCATTATGCTTTGCAGTTTTTCGTATTTTGACGCAATGAAAACAAGAGAAATTTATTGGTTTTTGGATGCCATTCACGTACTGACAGACAACTTCCCAGGAAGTTATCAAATTGCACTAACTATCTTATGCATACAACAAACAATTGAAACAACCGAACACATAATTACACTGAACGTCAATAATTCCTCAGCTGTAGCTTTTGTCTATTTGAAGAGGAGCAACTCTATTAAAATGAGAGACAATTTTTCTGTATTATCGCTTTCGCTCATCACCGTTAATAATTTTTTCAAACACTTATATACTAATAACCACAATAACGCCAATTGAAGCATGAACGTTCAGTCGCAGAAACAAGACTCAGACTGGGTTGGAGTTGATGCGAAATAGTAACAGTGGCGGTAGTGTCCGTTGAAATTTATTAACTTCCATTATCAAAAATGATATCAGCAATAGTGCTGTTGTTGTAATAATTATAATAATAGTACTGCTGTTGTAGTAATAATAATAATAATAGTTATTATTCTTATTGCTACAGCAATACTCATGATAATGATAATATTATTATTGGTGCTATTGCAGACAATAACGTTAATGATAGCTTAACTGATAACATTAACGATAATAATGATGGCAATAGCGATGATAATAATTGCTTTAACTCCATAAAAAATCGATAACGATTGTGAATGAGCGAAGGAGTGGAAGAGTCATTAAGCAGCAGCCATCCATCCATCCGTCAGCATTATTCTCGAGTAGTTGAATCTCAGACGAGAATGAATGTAAGCAGCAATAAGATGACTAGTGCTGCTTCTTCGTCTTATTATCTTCTTTCACTCTTATACCCACCAATCATTCAGTATTAATGCTGGCTGGACCATACAGCCAAACGGATTATGTCTCTGAGTGTACATCAACCGTTCAGGCATTTCGTATTGCTCACAGCAACACTTTCGTTCATTGATCCGATTATTGCATTTTGTTACTTCACTTATCTCATACATAATCTTGTTATAATCTTCATCATTTTTCATGTCAGAAGTTTGGATCATAAGAAAACAATTTGCATTGTGCCATCTGAAGGCTTAAAATCTTTTTTTTCAATGGAAGGAACTATTTGTTGCGTGGCGGAAATTGTTGGAAACGAACGTTTGGAAACGAAAAAATTGTTGGAAACGAAGTCGTTTGAACATTGATAATGCTAACAATAATGGCTCATTGATGCGGTGAAATATGTACAATCACAACGATTTGGCGGATTCAGCTGAATAAATACAACTTTCAATACGAAAAACGTTTCAGTCATCGAACATCGAATTCTAAAATTTGTAAAATTTTATTTGTATCTGATCGAAGAATCATTTATTCATTTTGAAGTCGTATTCCCTTGTTCTTAAGCATGAGCATCCAGTAAAAAGAGGTTGCTGATCGAATAGAGAGGCAGGTGAGTTTGTACTCTGTGAGTGCCAGTTCCATAAAACCAGCCGTATGCACTACAATTTTTCGGAATTCACTGGCTTATGTTCCAAAAAACTTCACTTCCTTCGTCTGAGGAGCTTCATGTGCAATTACGAATTGCTGTTTATATGATCATTTGTGAATATATTCGAAATTTCTACAGTATAGTACATCTGTTCGCTGATGATCGAATTGAATTCTTACCTCTTTTTGAGGTTGGGAGAAGAATAACTTATTTAGATCAGTGCGAATATCAGTCAATAAAAAACTCACGTTTTACGAACCCGCAAGTAACACTGCACTATTCGATCAAAACTGAGTGCAGTCTGTGAATGCAACGAAACGGGAATGAAACCTAACCATGATTTCCTAGTCTTGCACATATACATTCGCAGTCAATGCCGTCCAACTGAAAATTCCGTGTAACATGTCTGTCTCGTCTCATTCCGCTGTTATTCATTCATTTGCTGATGGTTCATTCCATTAAAAGCGTTCATAGTCCGCTATTTGCACATTACATCTCGTTACATTCTTGTGATATTTGCACGATCAGATCTTACATAAAGAACATTAATGCACCGAACTCTTTGCTTTCAGCTATTGACTGCTGCTGTTTGGCCACGATTCCAACTTCGACAGCCGTGAAAAAGGAAATAATGGACGATTGAGCGAACAAGGAATTTTTGGCAAAATGCTAGCGTCTTTGATCTCATATTACCAGTGAAGGAATGTTATTATGAAAATTGTTCCTCACAGGTGAAACTGTTCAAGCACAGCTTCATTTTCAATTGAAACCGACGATTTTTCTCGACCATGACCTNCACGACTTCATTTGATTTTCGCAACTGTCTGTGAACTATATGGTCCATTTAACGTCCTCAACACAAAGCATGTTTAAATGAGAGAGCACAAAATTTATCGCAAGACTGCAGCTCGTCTTGAAAGTTCTATTTTTAAAGCAAAAGTAATAACATTTTACTTCACAATGTTGACTACTTTTTCGCATTGGGAGAAAAATTGTTTGTAGAAGCACAAATGAGCAGCAACGCTGTTTATTGTGATGAAATTTGTTCCATAATTCACCATGTACTTTTGTCGTCGCTTATGCACCATTTTATATGATAATAAAATTGCATGCAACAGCTTTCGGTTATTTGACAGTGCAAAGCAACTTCCTCAAACTCACATCTACTTGCGCATACGTATTCATATAAATGAATTCAATTACATGGAATACTGATTCATTTTTGATCAATTTCTTCGTCTTGCCGAATTTTTTCTTGAATGTGCTCCCAGTCGATTTCAACCTGTAACTTCGCAGTAGTATTCCAGATGTGAGGGAATGAGTTTCACATTGCAATTCTCCACAAAAAGCTTTAATTGAAAATTCATTCGAGCGTTGCTTTCTCTCTGTTCAAATCATTGGGAGAATNGAATAGTCTTACGTCTTTGAGATGGCTAAATCAATAATCTTCATTTATGGAGACGAGCGATTCTCAGCGCCAAAATCGTTGGCTATCTGGTAAGAGAGAGGTGGGCGAAGGAAAAATGTGATATCGGTGATGTCAAAGAGGCATGAACTTCCAATTGCTAATTAAAACGATAATAAACAGATAATAATTCACGGGAGTAGGTTTTAGTTGTGTTGTAACAATTATGAAACAAAATTTATGTTCCGCAAATCGAAAAAATTGTAGCAGAGTTAATGCGAGAAGAAAAAAGCGAACCTCAGCGAGATGCTGCAGGAAATTCTTGTCAGTCTCCTTACGACCAGTCTGCTGCAAGTATCTTTGTCTATAGCCAATCACTGTGTCCAGGTGCATCTTATGCTGAACGGCTAGTTCCAACGCTCTGAAAATTAGCTATGCGTTTACGTTCAACTTCCAAATTGCAATCCAAACTTTGGAATATGAAAAGTTTTAGCCCTATGAAGATAAATGTTGCGTGTGATTTCATCAGTGCGCGCTTCGTGGTCAACGAAAGTCTGATCAACGAAATTGGTGTAATCAAAATATTTCAGACAATTGAAAGAACCTGGAATCTCAGAAAATCGAACTGAACTTTAAACGATATTTGAAATTCATAACAAGAAGACGTGAGTGTGTATGCTATACAGTGGCCGGAAGGTGTTTGAGAAGATAAATTTCACACAGATAAAATAATTTAGGTGAATAACCTCTGCCATCTGAACAGTGATATATTGAACATGATCGCACGAAAGATATTTTTTGTTTGCACAAGCATCGCATCTGCATCTCGTATATTGCCCGTGAAAGCGGTCATTAACGCTGCTTTGACATCTTTACTTGATTGCTCTCTTAACTCGGATAGAAACCCCACTTTTTCAGCCTAAATTATTTCATTCAGCAGTAGTGGAAAATGAACGAACAGTCAGTCGTGCCATACAAACAACTCTACAGCAAGGATCATAAGGCTGCGTTGTTTGAATTGAGAATGCGTACATCCATGTCATGGGCATTAGCGTATGATCAATCTGTTGGTCTAGACGGCATGCTTTTGGTCACATAAAATGAACGGATCCCTCCTGCGACCCCCGTACCATCTAGTTCTTTTATGGAGAAAAGTGTGCCGATAAGGAATTAGGCCGTGTTAAGGAGGAACTAATGACATCGATATATTGGTGATGTGAAGAAGTGCTATAGAGTAGTAAGCTCTGGCCGAAAGTCATTATCAAAAGAAGAATTGATGCTCCATTGCGTATTGTACGTAAATTCTGTACGACTAAATCAGCAAACAGAAATGTCGCAACCTCATCCAATGCTCCGTATGCGATTTCTGCTGCGTGGAAATTTTTTGCATTCGCGGCCATTGCGGCTAACATTGCCCATAGATATTCTTCCTGAAGTGTTCATTTCAGAAAAAATCAATGTGTGGTACTTTGAAATTAGCAGAATTCGACGATTCGTACGGCATTTCATCATTTATATTACTGCAACTATGATGTTCTCTTTCCTTTCAAAGTTGGTTTGAGTTTCAAAGAGTGTGAGCTCTAGCAGCAGTTTAGCATCAGAAATAACGCATTATAACGCATTCGTTGTTTGGATTTTACATAAGAATAAGTTAAAAAAGTGGTGTGTCCAACTGACTCTCATGTGTCGACAAAGGCGAATAGCCTGATCCCATTTTGAAGCAATGATGTAAGCACTTAACGCAGCCGGAAACGGTGAAACACCACATGGAACCAACGATCCGTCTGGTCGTCTTATGGATACGTGATTGCCAATAAAACTGAATTCGTTGCTATCTAGTACTTCCTCTAGCAAGTGATAAAGATTCATTGAAAACTCAGTAATCTGCATCGATATAAGTTATAGTGTTCGTCGGGGAACGGGGTCCCCGTCGGGGACCCCGGCGGGGAACGCTCCCCCCCGCGCAATTTGCTCTCCGACTTTTTCGCGGGGNCCCCCCCCCCGTCCAATTTACTCCCCGCGGGGACCCCCCCGTGCAAAAAATTGCTCCCCGACGAACAATAGATAAAACATTGATATAACCTACGCCAATAAATATGGTGATTTTCCGAAGTCACTTGCTTCTCGTTCGATGATCGTTCTTCGGAGGAGATCTTTATCGATGAATACAACTGAAGGATAACTCCAAATCACAAGTCGATTATCCTCAAGACCAGCCAGCATATTCGTTTGATCGTTGAAACGTATATTTGTGATCATTGTGCCTGCAACCATTAATTCTTGTATTCTGATGAAAGCAATACCAAAAGCGAATTCGATCTCTTCATTACTCCACATGTTCCGAATATTTTCATGCCAGCAGACAAGATGCAAGAAAATTATAATACCGAGTTTAGCGATTCGTTGCGAGATGCCGTACGTTTTGACGAGGCTGATAAAGCAGTCGAGACTCTTATCAACGAAAGCTACTTTTCGTTCATTTGCAACACCGCACTGATCAATCACAACTTCGATTATATCATTCTGTAATCGAATAATACAACGAGTGCGATTTAACATAGCCACCTTATTTGAGTGACTCATATTTGGACAAAACAATTTTCAGATAAAATCCGTGAAGCGCAAATCTGTTTGATGGAAGTTGATCTGCTTGAACTAGTATGTTGCGGGGAACACGGAATTCTGTGAACGCTTTGTGNTTTTTTCTTTCCTCACAACACATTTTTTGTTAGCGATGAAGATTTTCAGATGTGCATGCATGAAGATACAACAGAACCGTATGTATAATTTTTCCATCGCCAGCATTTTTACCAGTCATTGTTTCGAATAAATGAATTATTTTGTGATCATTTCGGTCTCGAATCGCGGTCGTATCGTTTGATAGGGCTGCGGTTTGCTCTGAGATTGTGTCACTTTGAGCGGTTGATGGTAACTTTATGGTGGACTGCGTCCGACCTTCGTAGGTTAGTATTTGAACAATACCTCCATCAACCAGTAAAAAGAACCTGAATCATTAATGCTGTCGGCCTATTAGGTGTTGAGATTTTGGATTTATATGGACTAATTTGCATTTAACTATTTGCGAAACGAATATATAAACTTACTTCTCACAAATAACGATCAGTGATACACTGCATTCCTTCAGATCGATAATCACCGGAGTATTCCAATTTTTTGCACTGAAAACAATTCGTATTGAGTGGTGATTCCATTGAAGCAAATAAGACGTTCGTGTTTCAGAATGGTCAAACTCGATTTTAATCAGTCCGAAAATGGCGTTCAATTCGTTCAACAAACTTTTCGTATGAAAATTGCACTTTTTGAGAAGCGTGAGTGAGAGCGCAGAATTTTTTCTCTCGGCAAATACGTACAAATACATCTTATGAAGAGAGATAAATTCGGCATTCTTTGCCCTAACCGAGAAATCCATCGAATCCCCCTCTACTACATCGATTAATTGAAGAGAAATCAAAAATTGTCGCATATTACCTGAAGATGTAGCATTGCTTTGTGGTTGTGACAACAAGCTGTTCAAATCCCAATGCGAGCTTCGTGACACGATCACGCATTTCTAGTTTCTCGCGAGCAACATCCGATACCACATCTCTAACATCCACTGTTCTTCGTTTCGATTGAATCGCTTCCAGATTACGCCATGAAACGCGTCTGAAATCGAAATGAACACCTTGTTTACTCACATCAACAACTCACAGCATTTCTTCTAATCTTTCCTGTTGTCTTCTCACTTGGTTCATCTATTGCGATCGCTGTTCATGAACACTGCTTACTGATGACGAATTGAAAATGTGTTTGGAAGGAATGAAGCGCTACAAACTTTTCGATTACGTGTGCATGTATGAGATGTCCATTCGCACAACCAGCCACAAGCTGAGTGCTGTCCGGTGACCAACTCATCGCAAATATGCTTCCTGTTGCCAGTTTCTCCAACGAATGTGACCACTGAATAAATAATCAATGAGTAATGGTAATTACAAGTATATATTTATGATTAAAGCATTGCTGTGGCAACCAAACAGAAACTCTTTTGCAAAGCACAATTATTATTTGAACGAACCCCGGCTTTATCACAAAGTCTTATAAGATTGAAGGACCCAACAGCAAAAAGATCTCCTTCGGCATTCCATGCTGCAGAAGTTATTGGATAGTCATGTGGAGCACTAGTAAATAGTGGTCGACCGTATGCATCCCACACCTTAGAAATCATCAAGAATTAGAAATAAACAGGAACGCAATCGACTTGAACGTACGATGAAAAGAATGAATTATAATGATTCTGAAAGGTGGCTTGAAATATAAGACATGGATAGTGCAGTACTGAGCGATACATCCTAAAAATTGGGCAAAAGGTTACATCGTTTAACGGGACGAAGGAGTCAGTCGTGTTAGGATGATATTAGTTTGTGAAATAACCTGCCTTATATTTACAGTCTTCTCCACCGGTGATAATAGTACTTGTATTCACACTCCAATCGATACACAGAACTATGCCATCATGAGCTTTCCACTTTATCGGCGACGTCTTGAACAGAAGAATTATTTGCTCACGCCAATAATTTCCAATATAGAAGGGCAACCTCCTTTGCAATCAGAAAAGAGTCGAATCAAAGCGTTCGCAACGACGCGATAATGCTATGCAGTTGTTCACCTGTGATTTCAACGCTTTTATGAAGCAATTCTCTGCACAGCAGTAAACGATCTGTGCACTATCTGCGCTCCAGCTGACCCCATACACTGGTGTTCCATTCTGAGCAAGCATACTTCTGAGCATTCCGTTCCTTGACCACATCTTCACTGTTCCGTCTTCGCCACCTACGAATACTGTTCTAGAAATGAAGTCCACCGAATTCGAAAACGTACCATTAAGTTTGTCAAAATCGAGTCGATTAGCGAAAGAACGTTCGTCGAAATGCATTATTTCAGCAAAACATTAAAACTGAAATGGATTCTTGGTGAATCAGAAAAAGTAATTTGTCCTTACATGTCAAAAGACTAGATCCATCGTAACTCCATCGAGCACACAATGCGGCACCTTTGTGCGCGTCAACGGCTTTTTCAAGACGACCACTGCGGTTGTATATGTAGAATTTCCCTCAAAATACTCACGATAATGTACTTAATCGTAACACCATAAAAATCAATATCATTGTCAATTTGATTTCGTTTTAACATAATTCTGCAGGTTGGATTAGTTAGTGAAGTCTCTAAACAATCTTCAAGAATTTGCTTGGAGTATTGGTTCCGCTGCTACTACGACGCCTATCAATTGAGATACAGACCGGGGGTGATGCGTTCAATTTTGAGGCTATTTTCATTGTAAATACTTTAAAGACGATCGACTGTTAAGAGCACTTCCCAATATTCAATCGTCGAATCAAAAATACACGGTATTAACCTTCCGTAGAAGTGAGTACGAAAACATCGTTCGTTGATTGTCTCAGTAATCCTCGAGGAAACCAATGCATACCAGTGGGATAAATGTTACTGGAAAAAGGATTTCATTGGTTTCAGTTGCACGTTATATTCGAGGTAAGCATACCGTTTTCAGCAATGATTATAATACGAAATGAATACACCGCAATGGATAAGAAATCGATGATTGATGCGTTAAGCCACCTTATGTCTCTGATGAGACTATCAATACCCCCGTTTAAGCAGATCAAAAATCGATGCCAGAGTTGTTTTTACCCTTATATTTTGTATGATTATTCGTCTTTCCGGAAAGTAAAAAGTTTTCTCAAGTTCAATGCAAAACAACCGGGCATTAAAATTGTTGAAAAGTGTGGAATAATTGCTCAGACGCACGTGTTGTTCTACGCGAATATCAAGATGAAAAACTAAATTTGGACACAAACTCGGCTACTACAGGTTTTGTTCGCTTTATTTCATAACAGCTAAGTCGAGGTTTGAATGCATTAGGGGCAGTGTTTGAAAATTATTGGTTCGTGAACTGTGCACTGTTGCGGAATATTCCGTCACTGCATCGGATTGTGCAGTTTCCGTAGTGGTGAAGAAGGTTACGAACATGTTGTCATTAACGTCATTAACATGGATCATTAACGATTCTTATTCATTTCAGAAGCACAGCTGAATTTCTGAAAGTATTTAATCGAGAAAATTTGAACATAACACTGTTTTTGAATGGCACAGTTCGAGTCGATACAGAGTACCGGCATCTCACCTTGGTAGTTGCGTCAGAGGATGTGCTTCGAAATCGATTAAGTTCCACTTCAACAGTTGCTGATCATCCCCACAACTCACCACCTCATCACTGGTCACCCATGCGACTGCTGTCACAGTATCTTTGTGTTTCGGCTGTCGGGACATCATCACTTTCAGCCTCATCCTATTTATTGTTTCGTTATTTTGATGAATTCCGGACAATCAAAAAAATAACAGCCTCGTAGAAGATGTGACCGCTTTTTATGGCAGACACTGTTTCACAGATGAAAAGGCAAATCATCAATTAGATCAACGATGAAAAAATAAATACTTCAGCAAGCAATGTGATGAGAAATTGAAATACGATAAAGTATGCTGCACCGATCAATTCACGTCAACAGTCATGTGCAGTCTTCGGTTGTCATGGTGACCATCCGTAAACTAACTAACCACTTCAAATGCTGCATACGATTATCAATCCCTCAGAATACTACCACATAGTAAAAACTAATGGATTATGCAATACCTAATCACTGGGGTTTTGCATAAATGCGTTTATAATAGCTTGCGCATAGAAGGATATTTGTGGATCATTTAATTTTAATGATGAGCAGATTGTCAACTGCTTATTGAAGGTATGTGTTTCAACAAAAACATCAGTTTTTCTGGGAATCGTTAATATTCAGAATGTACCTCGATGTTTTTCAATGTCAGCAACACCAACGAATTCGAATAGTTTATTATTCTTCAAAATAACTCAAGAAAGAATATCGCACAAGGTAATCACAATGAAATATAAAAATAATCACAATGAAACAAAATCATGAATTTATCACATATTATATGCTGCAAACAAGATTCTCATTGATTCTAATTTCTCCCCATAGAAACGGCGTCAACTTTATTTAATTTACGGTTTGTTTCTTATTTAGACAGGTCCAGATCTGTTGTCTGATGCGACGCTTTTAGCGGTTGCTATACTTCCGTTTACTGTTGAATTTTTTGATGTAACAATGACAGCTGTTGAATGGCCATCTCGAGAAATCTGAAAACGTATCGATGAAATGAACGCATCTGAAAAGCTTGACAAGGTTATCACGTAAAAACTTACGTTAGACGACTGCGAGAGATCGCCTGGAACAGCAGCTGCATCGTTGGACGGTGTGGATGACATTGTTGAGAGCATGTCAGACGCAAACGTTGGATTCCTGAATGTGCAAATTACCATTCAACTTCATTTTCAAACAAATCCTTCAAAGAAAACTTATCAAAACTTCATCAAATCTAACAATCGCGCGTGTGTAAAGCAACAAATTTCACCACAATGCAGTTTTTTCTGTTCTCAATCATAATTCGCCATTTCTTTACTTTGTAGTGGTTTCATAATGATATTTTTCCGTTCGAACAGGTTTTTGCCTGATCATAAACGCAAACTTTCACCTTATGCAATATACACCGAATAGAATGGCGACCACGATTAAAGCAACAGAAGCGCACAGTGGTACGGCAACCTTTGGTTTCGTCAACCTTCTGATGATACCTGACTCAGGCATTCGTTTATACGAACAACTAGCACCCGGTTGGCAAGTGAAACAACGACGAATCGATCTTGCCCAAATATCAAGTTGAATGAATGGATTTGGCTTGGATAAGTTTGATACGACGTAGAAGGAGTCAAGGAGGTTGAGAAGATGTATTGTACAAACTGAAGATGCCTTTGACGAATGTTCCAGTCAATTAGGAAAATTGCTTAACGCTGAGTGTTGAAACGATTCGATAATCGCACCACTCATCTATAATCTCACTCCTAATCTCTTGTTGATGCGTTCTCAAAAATTCCCAAACTCAACATATCCATTCATTGCAAATCCTTTAACCTTATCTCCTCCTTTATGGTGGTCGTGCCCGAGTACGCAATAAAATTGTCAATTCCACATAACATAAGAAGCAGTGTATTCGGTTCAAAAATTCTAATTGGAAGTGTGAATTATTTCAATCCCTTATCAGCTGCAATAGTTGCGCGATTAAGTGAAACACTTTAGTGAGCAGAACATCTTTCATGATGAGCCATGCGGTGGACCAGAAATGATCACGAAATAGGAAGTCGTTTATTGAATGAAGCATCAAACTAAAAACTGAAACATTAAGCTGTAGCAGAACACACTTCTATTCACGAATCATGTTTCTTGATGTATTCCATTGCCTCGAGTACATCTTCTTTAGACCCAACAATTATTGGTACACGGTCATGGATTCCCTTAGGCTGAATGTCCAGAATTGGTGTGGTACCAGATGTGGCCATTCCACCAGCCTTCTCAAGAACATAGGCCATTGGGAAGCACTCGTACATCAGTCGCAACTGAAAATGTTTAGTTGAGAATGCAAAAAATTTTTTTCACGGAACGTGAATACGCGTGCAAAAATCACAAATAATTTCTTGGCAGGATTGCATAGATTGACGAAGTTATCAAAAGTTTGTTACATTGCTAGCCACAACGATGCAAACCTACAAAAGTAGCTCACATAAAGCTAAAAAATTGATGCGAACTCGTAAACATCATTCGTTGGAAAACTTCTCCAACTTCTGCATCAAAACAACTAGAACTATGAAGAACAACGACGGAATTACTCACCTTTCCGTTCGGTGCTGCAGTAGTTTTTGGGTATATGAAGATTCCTCCGTTCAGCAACGTTCGATGAACATCAGCCACCATTGAACCAACGTATCGCTGTGCATATGCCTTTTTACCCTCCTTGAATTGATTTGCTATGAAGGTTTTGAAAGAAGCTGTTTGCTATTTTCAATATGTTGTAAGTTATCTTTTATTGCATCGATCAATCGTTTTCCTATCCTTCAATTTTTGAATTCTACTATCGAAAAAAAGCAAATTATTGAATCACTAATGGTCGTATGCGAGAAATTCACCTCTTGTACAACTCAGGTGATAAGGATATGACGAAACTTATTTATTGAGTAAATCAGTTGGCTAAGTCATCATGAAGGATATCATTACAGTCACAACAAAGTTCTCAATAGACTGGCTTGCATAAAATTCACACTTACCGGTGGATCTTTTTTACTTTTAATATATTCTGCGATACCTTTTGACCATTCCTTTGAATATCCTTCGTTGATGCTGTACACGCTCCCTCTTGGCTTACATTGCATATTTGGATGAGTCAATATAAACTCTCCAATTGACTGAAGGAGAAATTTCTTTGCGAAATTACAGTTCGAATTGTTCTATTAACATATTGCTAATACGCACAAAAATTACGCAGGCAAGAGGATTTTGACGATACTTTAACAAACAATCGCTAAAACTGCAAAGCAATATTACATTCCTTTGATGTAAGGAGCCCGACCAACAATCTCTTATGTTGATTTTCAATTAGGATACCTATAATTTGTTGAATTCGATTCATTATCATACTCTTCCCTTACGCTTGAGGATAAAGATGAATACGCATAAGGAAATGATTCGCGACAAAAATGAAACATTACTGGATCCAAAGTGAAGCCGTTAACACCATTTCCAGTCGCGAGCACGACCATAGTTGCTGAGCCATACAGAGCGTATCCGGCTGCTACCATTTTACGACCTGGTTGAAGGACATCGCTGAGACTAGGCTCACCTTCACTTTCCTGTACGCCAAAACAACAACTCTATCAGTTCATTTCCTTACTTACAATATAACAACACATCAAAGGCCTCACTACGTGCTGTGAGTCCATTTCAACAAGCTTACATGTTCTCAATAATTCTTCATTAATAAACCTTCCTCGCAAATGCATGCGAGATGACGGTAAAACCCTCTCAATGACGGTAAACTCGGTAATTTTGTGGTTTTCAAGCCAACGTGTCTGTGAAATTCAGCCAGGCCGCGCACTAACCTCAGGTTGAAGCGAACTCTTGTTTTTGGCTGAAGGTCACCACGAGGCTTAGCCTGAGAATTACCGTAAAACTGAATTCACTTTAGGTTTACATTGAAGCCTGAGCAGCGGAGTCGATGGTCATCCAGAGTTTATGCTGAGGCTTGTAGCATCACCCCCTTCATAAAGTATAATTATCGTTTCATGTAAAGACGTAAATAAACGAAGGAGACCTTTCTGTAAATGCCAAAGATTGTTCCAATTGAAATAAGGCAATCGATATTTGACGAGCCATCCAGTGGATCGAAAGTGACAATATATCTGCCTCGACGATTCGGCTCAACCTACAAAAACAAAATATGAAAATGACTGACGAATACAAGGTGGAGTTAAACTGGTATGATATGCCTGACGACGAGATTTGGGTCAATTCAGATTGGCACACTTTTCAATCATTTATTAGGTTGAAATTTTGTTGAAAACGTTCACCTCAATGAGTTCTTTATTTTCTTCGGAAACCATAGCGCACGTGGTGTACGAAGATTTCAGCATGTTGATAATGAGTTGGTTAGCGAGTACGTCGAGTTTTTTGACTTCCTCGCCTTGAACGTTCGTCGATCCAGCAATACCATACCTGTAATTGAATGCACACTGAACGTCATCCGTCACATACAATCTCACGAAACTACATGAATTATCGACTGATTCAGTGATGATCTCGTCGAGTGAAATTCTTGCCATCAATTCGAATTCCTCGGAGGGGTATTCTTTTTTTCGGAGGGGTATTCTTTCAGATTTGCACAAAATGCTTAGTCTATGACAAAATTAACTGTGAAGGGTAAACCAAAATTGTGTGAAATTGTAGCAAAAAGATCATGAGGAAGATAGCATGACGCTTTACCACATCATATTGTATTATTTGCAGGTTATGGTGGTAACAAACCGAGAATCCTCTTATATTTTCAAGACTTTATGGATTTTCGTTCAAATTTATTATTATGATATTCGAATGGATACGATAGAGGATTGTGCGAAAGCAGCGTACAATTGTGCAAGACCAGCTTTTTGAGTGGCCGATGATATGGCTTTAATAGCGGTCAGCAAACTCGTCAAAAGACTCGTCAAATCGCCAGTAGCGTTCGGATAGCGTTTCTGTTCGGCGAGAACGAATCGCTGAAGTGTCATCGCATCGGTCTCGATGCCGTACTCCCGACTGCTCATCTTGTTCCCTGATATTATTTATGTTCAGATTAATTTCTAAGAAAACACAAAAGTGCACGAATACAAATCTGTTACGCTCAACTGCAGCCAATTCAACTTTCATTCATAGTGGACAATCAAAATATCGTTCACTCGTAAGCAACAATGACGAGTGCCAGAGGTGTTCTCGCATACTTAATTCCAGTTTTTAAAATTCGGTAATCACATGGAAATATTTTAAAAAGTTTTTTTTCGAATGACCAAAACAATGAATGCTTCCGATGGAATTGTTTGTGAAGCGGTGACAATGATGCAGATGAAAATACATTAATTCAAGGGAAATATCATTTCTCACAGTGTAAATGTCGCTTAAAAATGGTAAATACATGTAAAAGAATTGCTAAAGAACATGAAATGCCGACAGAAATGAATCAATCGTTGCATTTTTGGATGAACAACTTCACATGTTCTATTGTGCTAACCTACAGTCGAAGAGGCACAAACGAATAACTGAACTGCACATGGCAGTCTTCACCGAGCCCACTTTACAATTCTGCCCTCTACTCGTCATCAGTATGGCATCATTTATCATGTCGATAAAAATCATCATTAATTTACTAGACAAGAAACATTTGACGAGAGCATCTCGTTCGAGGAATGCCAACAACTGATTTGACTGAGAATGAAGTGGATGAACGCAAGTGTTCGTTGAAGAAAAACTGTCCGCTTCAAAAAAATGATCGTTCCAACTCGAACTCAGATCGAAATAAAGCAAAACATTCTGTTCTTTCGAGGGATCAATTGTATAATTGTGTAATGAACTAATCCACTTATTCACCGATAAGATGCTCTTTTATCTACCATGAGCGCCTCAAATCATAACAAATCAGATGGGATCACTTCAGCAAAAAAATCTCTGCTAAAAAAGCAACTATGCTAAACTTAGAACGAACTAAGCAACCAATAGGCATTCCCTAGCGAATCGGCACAGAATTTTTCCCCTCCTGCGGCAACCTTTTGATGGAAAGAGCGAAAATGAAATGCATAGGCGATTTACTTATTCAATGGATCATAATGATACCACACTTGCAGGCTTGCAAAAGATTTAAAAAAAAAACTATTTTCTAACAACAACGTGCGAATATCTGTAAAACGTGAAAGATAGAAATTTTCTAGTTAAAAAGTAAAAGAATTCACATTCACAGCAAAGCAAACACCTTGTTTCTCGAGCTGTTGAGGAAAACAGCAATACGAACCAGTGTGCACCTAGCAAATTTCATGTACTGGCTAAACAAGAAAATAGGCATAAGGTATCACTTCGGAAAAAATCGATGGTTTGACTTGTAAACGAATGTTTCCATTCAGCATATAATAGTTATTGTTATTGCACACTGTGTTGCTATCAATCTTTCAGCAGTTCACATTGACGTTTCAGTTGCTACATACTTTCGTGATCAGCAACGATTTGATCGTTGATCACTGCAGTGATACAATGTGTTCCATTTCCGAGCATAGGTTCATTTGGTTATTGCATTGTAACATTATTAACTCACCCGTTTGATTAGATTAAATGCAAAACGTAATAAAACATTTAATGTTAAATGCAGTACAACTTATCATTTTTCTGAACACAAGCATCCACATCATTGAGTCATCTAATAAAGTAAGGCAAACTATCGAAGTGAAATTTAAACGGGAGTAATAGAAATGAAACGGTAGAATCGTAGGAGGCAAATAAAAATTAATTCATGCAAAGTTCCACACAGTAAATGGCAACTTTCTATTATTTTACGCATTTATAAACTCGAAACATTTCAGCCTTATCGATTTTCCGAATCGATTTTATCCTAAAAGTCTCNATGATGAGTTCACTCACACTTTTGAATGGGATGGTCAACAGTCCGGCCACTGATTCTGAATGAAGATTGACGAACCATCAACGGTACTATTAAATTTTATTAGTTGATTCAACGGTATAGTCATCTGTCATGCATACTAAACACTCAACGAGATTGATTCGAGCGAATTGTTTAGCAAATTTTCTGCCAATTGAATTGAACAACTGTTTTTGGGCGTTCTCTTTGGTACGTAGTCAGCTGGTCGAGTTCACAGTGAAAAAGGGAAGTGTTTTTTTGATGGGCTAAAGTACAAAAAGCTTTATATTATTATTTGATTCAACTGAAAAGAGTAAAGATAAAGCACCTTAACGCAATTGTCTTGCACTTGTGCTAAGTAATAAAGAAAAATAATTGTTTGAGTGCAGAGAGCAAGTCTTTATTAATATGAGAAAGTTGCATGAAAAAAGAAAACCATAGTTGTAATGACAATAAAAAAAAGATAATTTAAAGGATGTGAAAAATCACTAAACAAATTGAGTGAATGAATAAGCATACAAAATGTCAATGTACAAAGCTGACGAAATCAAAATCACAAGTTGCAGTTGAATCGGACATGAAAGGCTATTCTTTTGTTCTGAATTTTCGTACAAAGTAAATGCATTTGAACAATTCACAAACAATACGTATGTCAATCAAACTTTTTCAAACAAAACAGAAAGATACTCATTGTCACATTTCACGGTAATGCATTCCATATTCTGATAACTCTATGTTACAAACTGTTCAGAGTGTTTTTTTGTACGTTTTTCTTTCCAGTTGTAAATTATGTGCTCTTCGTCGGAAGCTGGCAACGTTTGAAATTTCATCGAAGTATATGCCTGAGAACTTTTCAATAATTTTATAATTTTTCAACACTTTTATTCATTTCAGCAATGGACATCGATTACCATATGAGTGTAATTTATGGAGTAGTTCTTGTAGGCTGATGGTGTCAAAGGCTTTTGCATAATCAATATAGACTACAATCGAATATAGGCTACAATCTTACTGTCAACTGCAGTGATTCAGTCATCAAGAAAGCAAAGCAATAGGGACGATGCGGAACGACTGTGTACGGATAACTTAAGTTTATTTTTTATCATATGACTGAGGATAATGTCTTTTTATAAGCATTTCCGAAACTTTAGATATGAAGAGAGGTCAAATTAATTCGTCGATACTTTTTAATGATTCTGCAGATAGTCCTTTAAAATGTGAGGTGATAACTGATGGTTTTCAATAGGACGATGTTGCGGAATGTGAAATGCTCCGTTCGAAGATCATAGTCAGTGGAGCTGAAATATTGGAACAGGTTTACTTCAGAAATAGTGAGTGAATAGCGTCGAATGTGACGAATTGTTTTGCGAATGAATTCAACCTCAATATCCAAATCGTTGATATATTTATTCATTACACTTATCAGGAAAATGGGGCATAAAATTATCGTAGTTGATAAAATGATTAGCAAACATTTCGCATTTAGGTGTGTCATCTTGCAGTACATCAACACGGTGATCAAGCATCAATTTCTCATTTACATAATGATTTGAAAATTTATGATCGATTCTGATTGTTCTAGAAAATGTTCCTCGCCAATTTCTGGCACTGCATAAAAAATGTATGGAGTATCGATGAAAAGCATTACTCATCGTGCTCATCGAGCCATTGAAAGTGTTTTTTGGTGTTAGACGTTGAATGTGACAAGGAAATTTCAATCAACCTTCTCGACTGTTTCGGACAGGAACACATTGATCGACAGCAATGCTTATAAGTTGGAAAAAACGGTTATACATATCATCAATGCTTAAGAAATCGTTGATGCACCTTCTGTAAGGATGATAGATAATCCTGCTTTTACCATTAATTGGACACATCAACGAATATGCTTACATTTGAAAAGAATAATTCTTGGGGATGTTATACTAGGTTCAAAAATGGTGATGTGGTGATCACTTGTTGAAAAATTTTAATTGATGGTCACATTACGAATGAGTATGGTGTTATTATATTTGCCAATGTTGCGTCAAGCAGTTTATTGCTCCCATTAACAAATTTGTTAGACTATGTCGGTTGAGAAATGCTTCAAGCAAAACGCAATTCTGCTGTCAAATTCAGGTGAAACATTTTTGCGAAAATGCTCCTATTGTTGAAATAAATACGGTTTAACGGCCTTTGTTTAGCTTCCTTAACAGTATCGTGAAAATACAATCCCAGTGAAAGGAGATTGACTTTGGGATTCACATTATCAGTTGAAAGTAAAGCAACTGATGCAATTAGCGAATTAAATTCACCTGGTCATTTATGTTGTGGTTTAAAAACTGGTAATTTTTTACTGGATGACGAAATTTGCCACAGATATTGTTGCTTGATTTCAGTATGAGCTGAGTTGGATTTATCAACACATTGAACTAGTTGTTGGTAAATTATCGTGAAAGAATATTGACGGTTAAAATGAAGTTGGTCATGTTAACCGATTATGTCGGAGAGGCGAACAAATGAAGGAACGGTTCGGTGGATGTCGCCCAGAATATATCAAAGTTTTTAACTGTTTTAATTCACTTGAACATTGTGACACAGATGGTCGTTGTAAAAATCAAATGCTCGATAAAGACTGCAGTAGGAATTAAGAGCGTTAAAAANAAAAATGTTTATGTATCTAGGAAAAATGGATGAATGTCACTTTGCGATCGCATAATATTATTACCATGATTATTTATAACCATTTGTTATCATGAATGAACATAGGAAGAATGCAATTAATTTGTTTAAAAAATATTTCTTTCTTTTTTGAACTGTTCAAATGAGCAAAGATCTGTGCTGATTAGTTTGACGTTTGCAACAAAGTTTACAACTATAATTTAAGTGCCACGGGAGAATTTCATTCAAAACAAGTTTTGTCATCCTTTGGCACTTTGTCATCCTGTCATCCAGCTCTGAATTGCACTCAACGGTTATTCGGTTTCGAGCTTCCATAACGTGGCATTAAAATTTCTCCCATGAACTAACTATAATGGCGTAGTGTTACTGAAATTCGGTTTCGTTGCTTTGGAATTCGAATGTGATTTGGTATTCTCGCCTGTTTTGGACAGGAACACATTGACTGACGGCAGTGCTTCTAAAATGAAAGAAACGGATATACATATC